GGGGGAAAAAAAGGTACCTTAATGGATACGAACGGCTTGGAAGTTCTTGAAATGCTCTCAGGTGGATTAAGAGTGAATACAGAAAATCTGCAACATAGGGAGGGCACTCCAAAGAGCACGGGAGACTAAAACCTGGGCTACAGTCTCAGGCTTCCCCTAGGATGGTTCATTTTTGAGGGACGGTGAGACATACCTAATATTTTGCAGGCTTTGTCGACGAGCTGCATTGTGATCTCATCTTTGTAAACTTCGAAAGTCAAGAAAGAATCCTGGACTCCGGCCTGCACTCTGCAACAGAGAAGACAATATTCTTGTCTCAGCAGTGCTGTACGTACAACGTGCTCGGGTGACCCAACTGGTGTTCATTAAGCCCCGTTTTGCTAACCCACTCCTTAACCTCCTTCAAGCGTTACATTGGAACACACTGCTTCCCCTAACGGTTTAAGAGTATTGTTTTAACATGGCTGAATGGTGGTGTCCACCTCTCCATTTCTGCTGCTTCACATTATGGTGTTATGGTAAACTCTTTCAAGGATTAGGGCACCGTACTGTGGGGCAGCTAGAGCGAGCCGAGTCTTCCTTTGTCTTTTGGTTTACTGGCTTGTTCAACGTGGACACAATATCAAGCTCTTGGGTCTCCACAGACTTGACCGAAAACTTGCTCATTTTTTATACCAGCTTCAATTATAGGTGTGTATCTAAGTAGCATTTATGTATCTTTATATCTTGGAAAATACCATGTAGCTCACAAAGTAAAAACAAAACCAGAGAAGATGATTATCTTTGGCTGCTTTTCTGAATGTCCTGGAATTAAATGGACTTCATACCAAGGATGACATCTTTTCAGTGTAATTACTTTTCAATATTGTCACAGTGAGCCAGCGCGTCTATTGCACAATTGTCTATAAGACTAAATGCCATCCTTAATCATCTGATAAAACAAATTAATTGGGACAAATTAGTATCAGAGTACGAAGTGTCACAAGGTAAGAAACTCCTGCTTTTGCCTTGCTATTTTTTTTTATGCTAAGAATTACTTGAGATACACTTGAGATACTGCTGTTTACCAGTGAGAAATTATAATCCTCTGCTGCTAAATTCCTGAGCATTTTCTTTCAATACACTGTATTTATTGGGAACACATTACCTTAATTTTTCCCATGTTTCTTCACCATACTTTTCAACCACCAGAGACTTCAGGCATGTATTTATAAATCCATACTGCAAAAGCAAATACATGAACGTGGAAAATACATCCCGATTTTTTAAAATGCAGCCCAAATGCCACTTTTTTGTATGTAGGATTCCACAGCTAATTTTATACTGCAAAAGAGGAAGTAATAGCGTTTGACAGCCATTACGTCTTTCAGTAAACAGCACAGCCTTTATCTCAGCATTTCACAAGCGTTCAGAGAAACAGAGCCAACATATTCGGTCCTCTTTTGCAGATAAGGCCGCAGCGACAGCAGGTCAGGGCTCTGTTGGGCCGAGCGTGCAGCCTGGAGCACGAACCCTGCGGCGGCTGGAACAGCATCTGCGCACAGCTGCAGCATCGGGAGGGAAGTTTGGCTTTGCCCTGGCTGCGACTGTTTGCGTTAGTACCGACACACCGGGCACCGCAGGTGGGGGAAAAAATGTTGAAAGGATAACCGTAAGTAGCACCGGAGCTAAAGGATAACCCAAAGCAGCAACAGCCTAAGGATGGCGTGGCGCCAAAGCAGCGCTGGTTGGCATCGGCGCGGCGGGCAGCC